AGGACAAGTCCCCCAGATATCATTTTCTGGAGCAGGGCTGGGGGAGGGATCAGGCCTCTGTTCACCAGAATCCTTGACTTTATCTGTTATACTGAGCCCTGAAGGTCAGGGGGAGAAATGTACTGATGTGTAACAGTAAATACAGTGTTTTTTTTTTTTTTTTAAAGGTCACTTTGATAAATGGTTTATGTTACCAAAATCACATTGTTTTAGATTTTTTTTCCATAGTACATCTTGTTTCCTCTATCTTTTCTAAACTCACTTTTTTCTTTTCTTTTCTTTCTTTCTTTCTTTCTTCCTTCCTTCCTTCCTTCCTTCCTTTCTTTCTTTCTTTTTTTTTTTTTTTTTTTTTTTTTTGGGGAGGGAGGGGCTGAGGGAGATGGATGAAGGAGAATCCCAGGCAGGCTCCGTGCCCATTGCAGAGCCCAACATGGGGCTTGATCTCCAGACCTTGAGATCATGACCTGAGCTGAAACCAAGAGTCAGACACTTAACCGACTGAGCCACCCAGGTGCCCCTATCTTTTCTTTTCCTCATCTATCTTTCCTTTTTTGAATCTTATTCATACATCCATTTATGTTGAGCTATTGTGGTGATTCTGATGTTTGGGGTTTTGCTGGCTCATCTGAGTAGTGTTCCTGTTTATTGCCCCTATGCCCAGTACTTAGTTACATGAATGAATGAATTGTGGGAGTGGTATTTGGGGGAAGGTCAGCATCCCCAGAGACCTGGGCTTGGAAGGCACGATGAGGAGCAGTGCTTGTATGATCTGGAATAATTTTGTGTGGCCCTATCAATGTGGGTGTGCTGCTTCAAGAGGAGGGAGATTCTAGAATATTGCAGCTCACAGGGGTGGGGTTTCCATTCAGTTGTGCCGCAGCTCTTATGATAGTACAGCAGTGCTGTCTACCGTAGGGCAGGGGACAGGAGCTCCTACTTTAGGAGGAGCCACATTTTAGAGTCAGAAGGATCTAGATTTGAATCCTGGTCTTAAGACTAGCCATTAGATTTCAGGATAACCTCTTCGTGCTTCAGTTTCCCCAGGAAGCTGGGGATGGTGATGGTAATAATAGCTACCCCATAGAGTTGTGAGAATTAAATGAGTACATGCAGAAGTGTGCCTGGTACATTATAAGCATTGAATAAGTGTCAGTGATGATTATTATTAACACTGATAGTATGTAAAACCCCTTAGAATAGTGCTTGGTCAGTAGCAGATGTTATGACATGTTGGCACCCCAGACAAGATGTAACTTTTGTTGTCAATTTAGGGCTCTGTGGCACTCGCTGATTCTGAATGGCTGCTCCTGGGATGCTGTCTTATCCCACAGTCACTGGTGATGCCTGAGCTGTTACCTTACTTCCTGATCAGAAACGCTTCCTCGGAGCATAGTTTTCAGAGAATCTTGTGAGCTGTTCATTGAGCCGTGTGTTTCTTATTAGAAACAGAACAGTAACCACTGCAGGTAACCCAGAGTTTATCAGCCTTAGTCACAGACGGCCTGATTTTTAAAGAGACCAAACACTTCCCCCAGAGGTTTATTGCACACACACACACACACACACACACACACACACACAAACAAAAAACCCCATAACATTCAGCAGAGCATCAAAGTGATTTCTTATGGAATGGAGGGAAGCCTTAACTTGTCTTCTGTGGCTTTCTCTGCAGCTGGTGGCCACAGGAGACCTGACTGAGCATTGACTCAGACCACCTAACTCTTCCCCTTCTTTTCCTGAAGGTGCAGAATTTGGGCACTGTAAAACCCCTCAGGAGCCCTGTTTCTCAGGCCTTTCTTTTTGGACATTCTCCTCTGAATTCTCTGCTTTTTCTCTTTGACTTCTGCCAAAGATGGAGGAGTAAATGTGTGGCAAGCCTCTGAGCAGAGAAGGATGCTGTCCAGGTTTCTGCTCCCTGTTCACTGGCTAATGGAAGCCGTCAGTTGTGGTCCATGTGGGGCCCACAGAGCCTCCTGTCCTCCTGCTATCCCTGTCCCTATCCCTGAGTTTTATTTTCTTGTCACTTTTAACAGCTTTCTTGAATTTTAATTAACATTCCATATCCCGGAGTCTTTATCTAGAGTCTGTCCTTGATTCTTATTTAAACTACTACAGGGTGGTGGGAAGAGTTTTGGATGTGACGCCAGAGGGGAAGAGAAAAAGGAAATCACATTTTATGGAGTGCTCGCCCTTTAGCATTCAGCTCATCAGATCTTTCTTAAGCTTCTGCCGTAAGCCAGGCATTGAGAAAGGCACTATGGGGATTGTGTCAAGGACATCCACTGGGGCTGGACCTAGGCTCCACCAGTTAAGTGGGACCTTTGTGCTTTCTTATTTAGCTTCTCCTGTGCCTCAATATTCGGAATTCGGATGCTAATAGTGTCCACCTGTTAGGGGTGTTATGAGGATTAAATGAGTTAATAATATAGAATGAGATGATGATTCTGATGATAGTGGCAAGGATGACAGTGACTGTGATGGGGAGGGTTAGGAATGGGGACTCAACCAAACGGACACATCATTGCTTCCATGCTGCTCACAGGCATGCACGTGTGTGTGCGTGTGCATGTGCATGTGTGTGTGTAGGGTGGAGGTGCTGAGGGATGGGCTTGGAGCATAAGACAGATATACATAAACAAGTACAGGAAAGCATGCTAAGTATGACTGTAAGATGGGGAAGTGTAACATGCGAGCTTATGGCAGGGGGTCGGCCTCCTCTCAGGTCAAAGGAGCATACTAGAGAGATGTTTAAGTGAAACTGAAAGGAGAACTCAAAGTTAGTTGGGCTGGAGGTGGTGAGGGGAGTTTGTGTCCCATGTTCTGGGCAGAAGGAACAGTATTTGTGAAAGTCTGAAGGGGAAAGCAGTCCTATGGCATTTCAGGAACTGCAGAAATCCAGTGAGCCTAGAGCACAGAGTGTGAGCAGAGTGGTGAGAGGTAGGGGCCGACAGTAAAGGTGGAAGACTGACCATGAAAAACTGCTGTCATTTTGAGGAGTCTGGGTGACTAAGAACCAGATACTGTCCTTGGGGGACAGTAATCCCTTCAAGCATCACAGCTCTGTGATAAAGGTGTTATTAGCCCCATTTTGTTGATGGGGAAGTTGAGGGTCCAAAAAGTTTTCACTTACCCAGAGGCATAGACTTTAGAAGATAGTGGAGGGGCGCCTGGGTGGCTCAGTTGGTTAAGCGCCTGCCTTCGGCTCAGGTCATGATCCCAGGGTTCTGGGATCGAGCCCCGCATCGGGCTCTCTGCTCAGCGGGGAGCCTGCTTCTCCCTCTCCCACTCCTCCTGCTTGTGTTCCCTCTCTTGCTGTGTCTCTCTCTGTCAAATAAATAAATAAAATCTTAAAAAAAAAAAAAAAAGAAGAAGATAGTAGAGTCAGGATTTGAATCTAGTTTCTCCAGCTCCAAGGCTAGAGTTCTTTTGGTGACACCATAGGCCTTCTGACCTTGACCTCTGGCTATTAGCTTTATGACTTCAGGCTCCCCTCAGTTTACTTACCTGTAAAATAGGTAACAGAGTAATAAATACCAGCCTCAGAGACTTGTAAAAACAAATGGAAATACCCCTCAGGTGCCAAGTGCAGTGCCTGGCGTATTAGTGAACTCAACACTGCTTATGGCCCCAGATTCTTGACAGAGAACTGTTTTTCCTTCATAGTCCCAGCAAACTGAGAGAGAACCCCATGAGCTGCCACATGCATGTTGGCTTGGTTGTCAGGCATCTTTCCAAGGATAAGTTAAAACCCACACAGAAATCATCTGTGCACATAGGGATCTTCTCCCCCAGCTACTTGACTAGTCCCCGTGCACTGGGCTCTCTTTCGACCCTGCGAACCTGCAGTCACTTGAGCTTCAGCTCTGCTGGTAGGAGTGACCCTGGGAGCTTCTTCCAGCTCTTCCTTCACCTCCTGGGCTCACGGGTTGTCCTTCTCCTCTTCCTCCAGAGTCCACAGGCTTGTTCTGCCTGCACCTTATGAAGTGAGCTCCACTCCTGGTTTGAATTGTATTTAACTTTGTGGTTGTTTAACTTTTCTCACATTAGTCTCGGGGGCAGGGACTGGCTCATCTCCCTGTATTTCCTACCACGATTAGCGTAGTACTGTAGTAGGTACTTAAGAGACAATAATGGTTTCACCAGGATAGAGCTTTGTGGGTAGCAAGGCTCTTTTGTAGTTTTTAAAAAAGTCCTTACAACTGTCCTCTGAGATAGACAGAGCATGTAATATTCTTTTTAGCACAATTGGAGAAACTAAGGCCTACACTTAAGCAACAGGCCTATTAACTCTTTAGTTCTACAGAGTACACATTTACTAAATATTACTGTCCCACATGTGGGCGAGGAAAATAGAGCTAAAAAATATAGTCCCTTCGCTCAAGGATGAGGTAGACCTTTGAAGTTTAAGGACAGAGGAATGATGAAAGTGTTTCACTTTATTTGGGGAAGAGCGGTGAAAAAGTCAGAGGGAAAGAGATGCTTCCATTGGGCTTTACAGGATTGACTTGGTGGCACCATAAGGTGGGAGGGAGGGCATCCTGGGCAGAGGACGTGGCACATGCCACAGCCCATAGGAATGAGCAGAAGGCACTTGCTGCAGCATAAGGAGTGGTGGTAGGGGGAAGATGGCCATAACTCCCATGGTTAGGACCCCAAGACGCCTGGGATGTGCAGGGGACTGAAAGGTTTCTTTCTAGCTCCTTCCCCTTTGTTCAGTCTCCCGGTCCCTTGGCATTCTTCCCATAGGCATACACCACGTGCACATAAACTGCCTTGAAGCTTTGGATGGGCTCTTCTTTGTTCCTGCTCCCTTGCACCCCCAGCTTGTCTGCACACAGGCTTGTATTCTCCTTTCCATGCTGAAAGAAAATAGATCTTACCACAGGAGTGACCTGGAAGAATAAAGGTTACCGGGTGAAAGGACATTTGTGTCATATACTCTGTGTGGCATGAGGTGACTGGGAAGGAGTAAAGTTCGTCTGTGACCAAACACCTGTGTTCCTCTCTCAGTGTCGAGATCACCAGAGGGAGGCATTAAATTGCTCTTCCCAGGAGTCAGATCTGTTGTACCTGAGGAGACCAAGCTGGCGCAGCTTGAGCGCTGTGGGCAAGTCTGACCAGGCCCCATCTCACTCCTGCCTGTGTTTGCCTTGCAGCTGTGTAAATGAGTATGGAAGATTATGATTTCCTGTTTAAAATTGTTTTAATTGGCAATGCTGGCGTGGGGAAGACGTGCCTAGTCCGACGATTCACTCAGGTAAGAGAACTTGGAAGTCCGGGTTTGGGTTTCTCAGTCTAACCTGTGGGGTTAGGGGTTAGGGGTTAGGTTAGCGAATGGAGGGCTAGTCCCAGCACTGGCCTCTGGGCTGCTGGTTCTTAATATGCCCTTTGAGAGTGCACCAGCTTTATAGCCTGGCTCGAGTTTTTTCAGCCATCTTCAGGGAGTCTGGCTCTGGGGGTCACCACCAGTCCTCCCCCATCCTGTGTTGCTTCCTTTATGAAAGGAGCAATGGTTTTGCTTTCAGTGTATACTATAAAAAACAAATTATTAGATTAAAATAGATTATCAGTCAATAATCTAAAGATGTTAACAGATGAATCTGGACTTCAGACTAAACCTAAGTATTAATTTTTTTAAAAACTCAAATACAAATTAAACCAAATTCCCTGCCTATGCCCTTTCACATCCTCCCAGGCAACTGAGTGAGTCATTGTGGTTTAGAACCAAATATGCTGATGCTTTTAAGTCTATTAAATGGGAATGAAGCAAGAAGAGTGAAGGACTCTTTGAACGAAATTAAATGTTCCCTCTGGATTGAGCGCTTATCGTATGATCTAAGTATAAGTTCCCTTTGGGGCTGCCCTTTTGAGAATTACTGCCAGAGATTACATGCCTGTTTTTATACAGAAATGAGTGACAAATCATTCTGAAGTTGATCTTCTTTTGTGTTTTCCTGGAAAAATACGAATGGCATCCTTTTCAGAATTATCATGCCTGCAACTTGCATTTGCATCAAGTACTAGGTGGGAGCGCTGAGCCTAGCTCTGCTAGGGCAGGGGACGGCGGGGTCCTGTGGAAAGAGCACCAGCTGGAGAGCGGAGAGACTCGGGTCCTGGTTCCAGCTCTGCCTTGGCCCGTCCTGTGAGCCTGGGTTCAGTTCCCTCCCCTGGCCGGCCTCCGTGCCTCCCTGCCACAAGGATAGGCTTGGTGACCTGCAAAGCTACTTCCAGCGCTGACTGTCTGTGGTTCTGCGCAGAACTGGACAGGATAACACAGACAGCTTTAGGGCAGAGAGTCACCTTGGGAAATGCCAGGATTTTTCCCAGGGTACATGAACCCACAAGAGAACTCGTGCTTTTTACTAAGCCCTGGCCTGGTGTAATCAAAAGTAAGAAGCTACCAGGCATCCATGCTTAGTCAGCCACCAGGCTGTGATACTGGAAACTCCAGCTGGTTTTACTTCCACCTACCAGTAATCTTTTCTGCTTTGGCAGGAAGACAAGCCTGCAGAGCCGTGGAGTTTTTAGTCTCTTTGTTATCAAAAGTTCCCTTGACCTTGTCTTATTATCTAAGGAAAGATCCCTTAGAGATTTTTCAGTCCCCTCCTCTCGTTTTACAGATGAGAAATTGAGGTCTACAGGGACGAAATGACTCCTTAGCATCATGCATCCTGTTAGTGGCGAGGCTAGGACTAGAACCCACATCTCCTGATTCTTAGCCTGATTCTTTTTTATTTTTGGTGTCCTAACCTCTGAGACCATAGGAATCTGGCTTTTCTCTTTAAAAGCATAAAGTTTGTCATTAAAGGTAAAAATGCTTCCATTTTTGAACACTAATTTTTGCCGATAAGCACACCACCCCTTTCTTTATCTGCTTTTTACCCCTCCCAGCCCCTTAACTCCCCCCAAAAGTAACTTCCCAGACAGTATTATGTTTGGTTTTGTTATTTAGCATGCAGTTAAAATGAACTGGACTCAGCATTTTTTGAGACATGAGGAGTTGGGGAACAAAATGATGGGGGAGACACTGGGAAGGATTTGTTTTATTTTTTGGCATTTATTAGACTGCAAAACAGCTGGAGCGATAAACTCGAAACTTGGCAGCCTTGTGTTTGAGTCAAACCAAAATAGAGGAAAATTGATTCAATATTTGTAAGTACAGTTATGAATGTTTATGTTTACATCTTTTGCAGAACATGCAATGGAATATTTTCTGTGGGTTTGAAGCTCAGTCTTTTAAGTTCAAACTTTAATTAAAGAACTCTCTTGTTAGGGAATAGACTTAATTAAAGATGCCCCAATCTTAGCTGCCAGAGCTCATAGAGTCCATTTTACTTTAATTTCTGGCAATTCCCGTTATAAGTGAAGAGGGAATAGAAACTAGGTGAAGAACTCTTCCTTATTAGAATTCCTTCCCACCTCCCCAGTCCCTGCCTAAGCCTGCAGGAAAAATTATATACCAGCAACATACATTGTACATGTAATTTTGCTAAAATCCTATCTTTCTAGCTCAGCTGCCAGTCTGAGGTAGAGCTTTTTGTTTTGTTTTGTTCTGGAATGCCCATTGAATTTGAGGCCGGAAGAGGGGGACTGATTTGCCTGAGGCCACACACAGAGCTCCTCCAGACTCCTGGTTTAGTACTGTTCCTACTTTCTCCCTGAATGATTTTATTTTCTTCCATGATTTTCCCAGTGTCAAGGGCCCCAGTTTCATGTAATTACATGTGTGCTACATTGCACTGAGGGAAGTAGTTCTCACCCTCAGAGCAGAGGAAAATTCAAAAGCTTCACTGTTTCATTCATGTTTCCTGTGGCATGTTCTTGTTTGTTTGTTCATGTCAGTGGTTCATGCCTTAGGCTGATAACCAGTTTTAATCTTCTAGGATTTACCTCTCTGGGAGTACCTATCCATTTTGCTCCTCTTCTAACAATCCTGATCTCATCCCTATGGCTTCATGCTCTTATTCTTGTGTCTGAGTTCTGTTTCAGTTTTGGAATGGGTCTCCTTGCCCCTTCCCAGTTTTCTCCCTTCCCCCTCTCTGTCTTCCTCCCCATTTCACTCTCTTTCTTCTTTTAGCATTCCTCTCTCCTACTTTCTCCCTCCTTCCTCCTCCCCTCAAAGCATACCTACAAAATTAAATTCAACGTGGCTCCCATGACACTAACCAGAGTTCTCAACTCAGCCAAAGGAAGGGGCTGGTGGTGATGCGTGGTGAGGGAGGAGAGGGGAGAGAATTTCATTTAATTGAAAGATTTGCTTAATTATTTTCCTTTATGTCCTCTTCAGGGTCTTTTCCCCCCAGGACAAGGAGCCACGATTGGAGTTGATTTTATGATTAAGACGGTGGAGATTAATGGTGAAAAAGTCAAGGTAAGATGCTAAGTGTTCAATAAGGCTTTCATTTCCTGAGAAGAAGTAGTGTTATCATAACACTTATTAAATCTCCTAATTGAAACCCACATTGAAAATAATATATTCAGCCACAGTGACTTATTTCCAAACAGAGTTCTTCTATTCCTTTGTAGATGTTGCATTTAAAGATGGGAAGACAGGGGCGCCTGGGTGGCTCAGATGTTAAGCATCTGCAATGAGCTCAGGTCATGATCCCAGAGTTCTGGGATTGAGCCCCACATCTGGCTCCCTGCTCAGTGGGAAGCCTGCTTCTCCCTCTCTCCCCCTGCTTGTGTTCCCTCTCTTGCTGTATCTCTCTCTCTGTGTCAAATAAATAAATAAAATTAAAAAAAAAAAAAAAAGATGGGAAGACAGAGATAAAGTCTAAGGCAAGTTGGTCCTGTCTCCTGTCATGTCAGAGGTTATATAAAAACAAGGAACAAATCCCCAAAATTGGGAACTCCTGAGTTGGGCCAATAAGCAGTGCTACCTCTTAAGAACAGTAGCCCCATGAGAGATCCTACTGATTCCCACATTTGTTCTGGGTCATTTGGTCGTATGAATCACCTATGGGAATTATTGTGTTTCCCACCATACCATACCATGCTATTGGTAACAAGGGAGAGACCGTAAAGGAGGGATCCAGGAAGGATCCATGATCTCTCTCTTTCCCCCCATGGCCTCTGGTACCTGTAAGAACCATGGTATGTCTGGTAATGGGAGAAGGGAGATAGTGTTTATTGAGCACCTTATGTCCGTCTCACTGCTAGGTGCTTTTATATGAGCTGTCCTATTTAACTTAGTCCTCACTGTAACCCCTGTGAGGTAAATGGTAAGTTATCTTCCTTTTACAGATTTCAGAGAGATTTAGCCACTTACCTATCCATGGCTGCACAGTTAGGAAGGGAGGTAGGCAGGATCTGAACCACTTTTGTGAGCTAGCGCATCATCTTCCTCCCTGGGATCTCCCCTGCCAGGAGAGAAGAGGATGAAGGCACAGTAGGCCTGTCACTTTGAAGCAAGGACAGGAGGAAGGTGATGGGAAGAAATATGGACTAGGACTGAGTTACTTGGAAGGAGGGGAGAGAGGCTATCCTTGGCTCTGTGCTCTACCTGCCTCTCAGAGTTAGTGAAATTCCACAGTCAGATCTTTCAGAGCTGAGTCGCAGGGCAAAAAGCAGTGTCCCTGGCATCAACAGCACAATGAAAACTGTGGCATCAGTTTTCCAACTAGATCCCAACCTAAGCACCCCAAGGCTTTAAATCCATGTCTTTTGTACCCTTCTCCCAAACCCAGTACCTGCAGTCCTGCCTTCACATGCCACGGGAAGGGCAGAAAGGCTCCAACATGCTCTTGCCACATTTCAGAGACACACAGAGAAGTGTGTAGGGAGGCTCCCAGTGGGGGACAGAAGCACTCCCAGTGTCTCTTCCAGCCCTGACTCTTCAAAGTGGTTCCTTCTGCAGAGACATCCACACCGAATACAATAGTGAATGGAGAGCTAGGGGCCCTGGAAAACAAAGCAGGGTGTAAAATCCATGTCAGGGCCAACAAGAAAGCTCAGAAAAATCATGCATTCAGGTGGGGAGAAGGAGCTAGGGAGTGGGGGTAGGAAGGAGACCATAGTTTGCATCCAGGAAGCATTGGCAGGAAGAGCCACTTGTAACCATCCTCGCAGCAGGTTGGAGGTGATCGCCACCCCTAGCTGTTGAGTAAGGATAACTAATGTTGCAGGCATTTTACTTCCAGAAGGTTTCCTGGTCATATACATATCTGTGTGAGTTCATTCCTTTGACCACAAATGTTAATGCCTCCCATGTGCCAGGCCCTGGGAATGAATAGGGGTGAATAAGAAACGGTCCCCACTGTTAAAGAACAGGCTTATTTTTATTTTCTGCCATTTTCTGCAAACTATAACCTCATTGTTAAGCACATATTACACTCAGCTAAAAATCCATCTTTTCATAACCTCCAATGCTACCATGAGACCCCAGGCTCCTCAGGAACGAGGTTTGTGTCTCACTCCTCTCCCCGTCCACAGCACAGTTCCCGTCCTCTCACCTCTTTTTAGGTCTCTGGACCTTCATCTTTAAAAAGTAAGAGTTGGTTAATCTCCTAAATTAATGAGTCCTAATTAATTTGCTAGAGTTTCTTTCTAGCCATTTATGTGGAACCAAGATCTAGAATGACCCTCCTCAACCCCATTAATCCAAGGGCCTCATTAGCACGTGGATGTGTGAGGAGCAATGTCTTTAGTCTTTCTGTGGATGAGGCTAGAGCTGCCCAAGCTTCACTAGGGATGCAGTTGTTGTCTCATTGTTGTCCTGGTTCTTTAATGTTTACTGAATCCCTCTCTTCTCAGTGATGTTTTAAGTGTCTTTTTGCAAGTAGTTTGCTGGGTTTCTCGGAGTCCCACAGAGGACTCACAGGTGATCACAGAGGTGATCCCACAGGATCACCTGCCTGGTGAAAGCCAAGGCAGCCCCATACCCCAGGCCTCTCTCCTGACTTCTCATTTCCCCACCTTGGCCTCCCCTCTTCAGTTCTGTTCCTTTGCAGATGGCTTCCAGGATTGAAGGTAGGGAATCGAAGGTATTAGAAACACTCTTGTGGCAGTGAAGCCTTAGTTCCATGTCAGTAAAGGCAAAGTTGAGGCCCTTCTCTTAATGTGGTCTGCCTTTTGAAATGACCTTGAGTAGACAAAACAGATGTAGAATTTTCTCCTATCCATTTTTTTTAGAAGTCTATCAAACAAACAAGAAACAAGTAAAACTTTAAGCTGAGGCTACAACACTGTAACCTTAGGAGAGTACTTATAAAGAGAAGACTTGCTGGCTGTCTTTGTAAGCAGGTATATATTACATAGATAAGAACGTCTTGAACATGTCCATATATATTTATTCATTTGACCATCTGTCCTTCCATTCATCCATCTATCCCTCCTGCAGTAGAGTAGATGATGCATGCAAAGCACTGTGTTAGGTAACGTAGTTTTGCCCTCTAGGAGCTCATTGTCCCCTAGCTCAAACATTTTATCTGTGAAATCCTCTTTAATATCCTACCAGTCATTTAAGCAGAATTAGCCAGTCCTTCCGCCATCCTTTTTTCAAGCAGCTAGCCATTATTCACATGTGTCCACCATGTACCATGTACTCTGTTGGGAAGGCACTGGGGTATAAGGTTCAATGAGGCAGCCCTTGCCCTCCAAGTCCTCCCTCTGGCACAGAGGCACTCAAGTGCACCTGGGACTGCAGTGCGGGATTGCAACAGTGAGATAGGAGAGAGAAGTTAATGGTGCTAAGAGTGTAGGCGAACAGTGTCACCCCTGCCAGAGATGAGGACGGTTAGAAAGCCCATGGCTGCAGTATTGAGAACATACTGACCCGCATGAGATTAAAACCTAGGAGACACTCTCTTCTGATGGCGACTCTTCAGTAGAAGAATATCTCCTTTTTTATTATGGTTAGTTTATTATATTTGATCTCCCTGTAGATGGTGAGCTCTTTGAGGTCAGGAATTGTGTTATATTCCTCTAGTTACCCTCTCTGTGCCTAGCACTCTACATACATTAATGACATACAAGTGCTGAAAATGAGTGAATGAGTTGCAGAGAAAATAGTGAAACCAAATGAAATGATAAAGGCAGTAGAACATGGATATTCTTAAGACTCAACCGTGAGGCTAGAAACAGGCAGCCCCCTAGGAGAAAGCAGCCTCCATCTTGGCAAGGCCATACAATCACTCTTCTAGAAAATATTTCAGTGGTTTTAACCCTCAGAGCTGTTCTCAAGATGTGCCAATCATGAGAACATAGTGATTTCTGATGATTGACAGTATTAAATTCAATGACAAGTGTTTTTCAAGGCTCATTGTGGTATGAAAACAATAGTCTATTGTCCTAAAGACACATCCTGGCAGAAGAGAACCATGTCCCTAGGTTGAAAGCAGAGCAGAGAAATAGCTTTTGTCCCAGCCAAAGTCGTAACATCTGTATGGTCGCCTTCAGCACACACAGACTTTCATGTACATCATAAGGAGCAGCTGCAACTTCAGATCAAAGGAGAGCCTTGTGCCACTGCTCGGGGCTAGGGACCACTGGTCCCTCATTAGTCTTCCCAGCTACACTGGTATGAACAGAGGGTGACACCAACTAACTCATCCTCTTTGGATGCAGATGTATAGCAAAATCAGTCTTTGGGGGCAAAGGCAGCATGGTGGTGGGATGCATCCTCAACTGGGCATAGAAAACCTGGAGTCCGAGTCCCAGCCTTGTGGGTAGCCAGTGGGTAGATGGAGGAGAGGCATAAACCCTCCTACCTCCCTGGGTTGTTGTAAAGATTAAATGAGACCCACAATACATATGTGAACATTTATTGTCTGCCAGGCAGGCACTTTATTTGGAGTGGGGGATTCTGTGAATAAAATGGACCATTTCCTCTTCAGGAAACTCTCAGTCTAGTGAAAAATACAGTTATCAAACATATTATTACAAATAATCTATTCAAGTGTGTCAGGTGCTATGAGGGAGAATTGCAGAAGAGACTATGGGGGGGTGGGAGGTGGGGATGAGGAACCTGGCCCAATTTGAATGTTCCAGAAGGTTTTCCTTGAAGAAATGATGTTCTCTTAATGGAGGTGAATCCATTTTGTGACATGAAGTTTATGCAGTTTAGAAGGGAACATTCTTACTCTTGATGTTATTTCTCAAGGCCTTCTGCATTGTCCTGCACTCAGAAGGCTTTGGAGTACGGCTCTCTTTGTAGTCTTCTACTCTGTGCAGGGATATCTGGGGAGAAATGTTTTTTATTTTCTTCTTTATTATTAGAACCATCAGTTGTTAGGTCTTATAACTGGTAGGTGACTTCAGAAAAATGTGAACTTCCAGTAGGCTTGGATATTACTAACATCTTTTTTATAAAGAAAGCCCTGGCGTGCCTGGGTGGTTCAGTGGGTTAAGCCTCTGCCTTCGGCTCAGGTCATGATCTCAGGGTCCTGGGATCAAGCCCTGCATCGGGCTCTCTGCTCAGTGGGCAGCCTGCTCCCCCAACCCCACTGCCCCCTGCCTGCCTCTCTGCCCACTTGTGATTTGTCAAATAAATAAATAAAATCTTAAAAAAAAAAAAAAAAGAAAGAAAAGAAACCCCTGAAACCTGGAGATCAAGTGACTTGCCTACAGTCTCAGAGCTTAAAAATGGTGGAGGGGAATTATTTTATCTGCCATGGCATCGTTCCCATTTTCATTAACAAAGATAATATCTTACTAGAGTCCTTTGAGTTTTGATCTGGAAAAGGTGGTTGAGGTCGGATGTTCTTCTGCTCCAGTTGCTGCCTGAGGTGCCAGTAGTCACAGAACGACCGCCTGCTCTCTATCCCGACGTTTGTAATGCATTACTGTAGCTGTGAGCATGAACTCTGGGACCACAATCGCCTGGTTAAACTGGCTCTGGGACATACTGGCTGTGAGACACTGAGCAATTTAATTAATCTCTCTGTGCCTCAGTGTCCTCATGTGAGAAGTGGAGTAATAGTACCTACTTCACTGAGTATGTTACATGTAAAATGCTTAGAGCTTGATGCATACCAAATGCTCAATAACTTTTTTTTTTTTAAAGATTTTATTTATTTATTTGAGAGAGAGAGCGAGCAAGAGCGAGAAAGAGCACAGCTGGGGAGGAGGTGAGCGGGAGAGGGAGAAGCAGGCTCCCAGCTGAGAGCCCGATGGACTGCATCCCAGCACCCTGGGATCATGACTTGAGCCAAAGGCAGACACGTAACCGACTGAGCCACCCAGGCACCTCACAATAAGTTTTTTTTTAATTAAAGAATGAAAGAAATTCTTAGGTAACATAATAAAGGAAAAAAAAAACCCCAAAAAACAAAGTAAGCCCCTCTCCCTAACCAGATATACCTACCACATTATTTTTTTTTTAAAGATTTTATTTATTTGACAGACAGAGATCACAAGTAGGCAGAAAAGCAGGCAGAGAGAGAGGAGGAAGCAGGCTCCCCGCTGAGCAGAGAGCCCGATGCAGGGCTCGATCCCAGGACCCCAGGATCACGACCTGAGCCGAAGGCAGAGGCTTAACCCACTGAGCCACCCAGGCACCCCCTTACCACATTATTTTTTTTAAAAAAGTGGTGTTTTGTTTTTTGGGTTTGTTTGGTTTTTTATTTTTTTGTTGGTTTGTTTCTTAGGGCAGAAAATAACCATGAAATTGAGTGAGGTGTTTCCATTTCTAAACTAAAGCAAGGCACTGCTCTCTTTTCTGCTTCTCCAACCCGATCTTTCTCTTACCCCTTTACAGCTTCAGATCTGGGACACAGCAGGTCAAGAAAGATTTCGGTCCATTACCCAGAGTTACTACCGAAGCGCCAATGCCTTGATCCTCACCTATGACATAACCTGTGAGGAATCCTTCCGTTGCCTTCCTGAGTGGCTGCGGGAGATAGAACAATATGCCAGCAACAAAGTCATCACTGTGCTAGTGGGTAAGTAAGGACTAATGAGGAGGGAAATTGATTTGTGGCCATCAGAGAATTTATAATCACATAATGCTTATGCCTTGCTACCTTCCACCAACGTAGTCTACAGCTATATAATTTACGCAGTCAACATTCAGTTCTTCTGAAATTGAGGAGAAAATGAAATAGGTCATATCCCAAGGCGATGGTTTAGAAAAGTAAAGTTGAAAATATTGCTGATTGATTTTTCTGTCAATGAAGGCTCTAGGCAAGAAGGTGGACTGCCATGGAAGTTATGTGGACTGCTAAGCATTACCCAAAAAATCTAGTTACAAAATCCTGGAAACTGCTGGTCTAGATGTAAACCTTATCTCAGAAGTTAATAAAGAATTTATTCTTAAAGTAATTGCTTATTGCCTAAAGAAATGGACTTTTTTTTTCTCTTCCTTATATTTGTGCTGACTTGAGAAATTCTAACTTCAGGGAGAATCCATTAAGGGAAATTCTGCAGTTTGTTTCATTTTGTGGGAGGGTAGAACCTCTGTTTAGTAAGGCAGAAAAACAGAAAACAACCCATGAGTTTCTGTGGTGACAAATATGCCCATTAACAATGGGATTGCAGTGACATGGATTGGGTTGTTAAAAACTCTTCTCCTGGTGATGAAAAATGTTAATAATATATGGCTGTTTTCTTCCTAAAAAGGAATATTGCTGTATAATCGAGCAAGACTTGAATTTGGAAATCCAGGTAGAGAATCTCAGAAGCATTGTTAAGACACAAATTATGGTTAACAGTAAGCTAAGTAAACACTTAAACAGTAAGCATTATAGCTAGCACTCATGTGCCAAGAATCATGTTAGGAAATTTATATGTAATGATTCCTAATTTACGCATGAAGAAACCATGGCCCAGAGAGTTGAAGTTCTTTGCCCAAGGTTGCATAGCATGTTAAGATCAACTCCAAACCTTGTATCTGTCCAACTGCAATGTGTTGCTTTGTAATAAGTTGCTGGACTTTTCTTTCAGGCGGCTGGGTTAAGTATCTGCCTCTCTATGAGCTAGTGCTCTGTGCCCACTCCTGAAAACCCTCTTGCACACTGGAGAATGTTTGTCATGAAGCGCTTGAAAGCACCCATCTCAGGACTTGGGCTTTCTTTCGATTCCACAAAAAGCTCTTCAGAACTTGAGTCAAAGCATATTCCTTGGGATTCTGTCTAAGGAAGTTAAATGGAGATTTGATGGGAGATAATTAGTCCATTCAGTATGAAAGAGGCACTGGCTTTAAAAAAAAAAAAAAAAGCCTTTTTATTACGGAAAATTTCAAACACAAGCAAAAGTAGAAGAAACGGTATCAGGAACCCGCATGTACACATCTCTCAGCTTTGACGATCATCAACTCATGGCCAATCTTATTTAATCTGCTCCCCCTTTATGTTGTCTCCCCTTGCCTTCAGATTATTTTGGAGCAAATCCCAGATCCTGTATGAATTCATCTTTCAATAATTCAGTGTATAACTTCAAAATAGGATTTTTAAAGAAAGAGAACCTAAGCACAAATCCATTTTCACACCTAAAAAAAATTAAGTTCTTAATAGCATCAAAAGTTTAGACAATGTTGAGTTCCTTGATTGACTCAGACATTTAAAAAAAATTTGTTCACATCAAAGATCTAAATAAGGCTCATATGTTCTCATTGATTTTTGTGTCTTTTAGTTCTCTTTTTGCCTGTAGGTTATCTCTCCGTTTTTTTCTCCCCTGGAATTTATTTGTTAAATCACATGTTTATCCTTCAGAGTTTTCAAGTCTGAATTTTGTTATTTCAGACCACCATAGTATACTTTGACAAGTTCCTCCATTACCTGTATTTCTTGGAGAGTTGTAGGTAAATTTAGAGGTCTGGTCAGATGCAGTTTGTGTTTTTCTTTTTAGCGAATCTACTTCCCAGTTGATATTCTGAGGTACAGTTCTCATAGTACAGCCAAGAAAAATGCTTGATTCCCCTTTTTAAAATTTCCCACTTTTTAAAATAATGAGTTCTTTCCCTAGTATTTTCAAGAAGTAACTACTAAAATTTGTTTCTATTTTGAATATTATTATAGATTTAAGTATATTCAACATTTTCTAGGCCCTTGCAGTTCTTATCATTGAGGGTCCAACTGTTCCAACTCTGAGAGTGGAGCTGCTTCACATGGTCTCCTGAATTCCTTAGATACGACCTTTTGACAATGACCTCGCTTGCTCTCTGGTGTAAGCATTCCAGGCACAACTTGTGCATTTCCTGCCCCAGACCAGGAATTACCCGTTTCTTCAAGAAGCACTGATTATTATTAATGTAAAGCTATATTTAGAGGCCACAACCAAATTGATAGGATTCTTCCTTATTAGTGGGTGGTCATTGCTTTTAGGCTTTTCAGTGGACAGACCTAGTGTGTGTGTGGTGAATTCTGTAGTGCCCAGAGGGGTTGTCTATTAGGCTCCACCAAATGCTCTGACTCACAAGACTATGATAGGCTACCCTTGGCATGATGTTTACTTAGGTGGATACAGGACAGAAAATATGGCTTCATTGCAGGTCAGCATCTAGTTGGCTTTATTCGCTTAACAGTATACCCTCGTATCTCATTCCATGGCAGTATGCAGAGACATTCCTCACTGCTTTTTACAGAGGCAAATAACTTCATTGTGCAGATAGATGGACCAAATTTCATTCAAGCCAGTGCGCAACTGAGGGGCATCTGGGTTGTGTCCAGGTCTTTGCCATGACAAATGGCATTGATATCTTACACATTGCAGTAATCACAGCCACATTTGCTTTGCTTTACTTGCCCATCTGTCTGATTTGACTTCAGATATGAAATAGAATTTTGATGCTTCCGAGCCTGTAAAAAGTCCAGTGATGTTTCCTTCTTTGATTTATTCCTGTTCCAGGCAACAAGATTGATCTGGCTGAAAGGAGAGAGGTCTCCCAGCAGAGAGCTGAAGAATTCTCAGAAGCTCAGGACATGTATTACTTGGAGACCTCAGCCAAGGAATCTGATAACGTGGAGAAACTCTTCCTTGACTTAGCGTGCCGCCTCATCAGTGAAGCCAGGCAGAACACACTTGTAAACAATGTATCCTCGCCCTTACCCGGAGAAGGGAAAAGCATCAGCTATTTGACTTGTTGTAATTTCAACTAAAGGCTGAGGCAAGGAGAAGCAAGAGGAATCAGCAGCTGCCCCGATGGGCCCCAAATTGCTGGGGGAGATCTGGTGATGACTGTGGCTCCTGCTCTCAGACCTTCTGACTCCCGTGGGATCCAGAGCTTACAGAGCATGGCAGGCCGAAGGCTTTGTCCACAGGCCAGCATTAGCAGAACATATAATGGTTTCACCCTTTTGCAGTCAGGAGTTGGAGCAAGGAGAAAATTGCACTAGGCGCTCCGTGATCTGCAGAGCATGTTGCTTTTGTTCTTTTAAAAAAAAAAAAAAAAAAAAAAAGCAAGTAAAAGCCCATTCCTGAACACAGCCCTGGGGGAAATGTACTGTAGGGAGATCCCTCCTGCACGTCAGTGGGTGCATGTAGGGGCTGTGCTTTAGGGCTTCTGGGGGCCCTGGTTTTCTTGTCTACCAGATAAACCAAAACTGGGAAGGCCAAGTACTGCCTCTGTGGTGTATGTTGATGACTCCATGGAGACTTTGAAAAGTGTTACTTCTCTTGTCCACAGGCACTTTCAAGAACTTTGGGATGTAAAAATGAAATGAAACCTTTTCCCATGACCAACAGTTAACAATCATTGGTTTAATATTATATATAAGCTCCATGACTCCTTTTGGTGCTAATGAATCCGCTCTTTCACAGACCAAACAATTTAGTACATCGATGTCCTTAAATGTATTACATTGAAATAAAAAAAAAAAAAGGGAAGTCCATGAATCAGCACTCTTTCTCAAAGTCTCATTACTACCTTCTCTAGGGTGGATTTGTTGGAAAATAAAATATTTTCATGTTCTTTCCCCTCTAAATCTCTACCATTTTCTTCTTCTATTCTCTCATCTTTCCAGCCCTTTAAGTAAATGAAAACATTAGAAAATTGAGGAAAAAAAATGGCTGGTGGTATTCTAATGTAAAATCTAGCTCTAAGACATGAGTAATACAAGAAAACAGACCTGATCTGACCAAAATACTGTGGATTAATGGACTGCGATGCAGAGTTCTAAGCAGAGCACAGTCCTTGATAAGCAGGTGACATCTTTTACTTCCTGGTACTATCCATCTTGGACAGACCAAGGCTTAGAATTTTGTACATGTTTTTAGTATGTTAAGTGACAATAGCAACAGAGGAAAAGTCTCATGAACCATTTTTGTATCTTCAGTAACCTTAGAAAAATTCTGCTTGTGGAAGCAGGCGGAGCTGTCATTAGTTGCCTCCTTCATGTTGTAAAGTTACTCTCAGACTCATGACCATACATTCTTTCCTATTTTTCTTTTCCTTTCTCTCCTGGTATCCCCATTCTTTCTTTTTTTTTAACTCCTTCCCTTTACATGCATGTGTTACTGCACATCTCCAATTCAAACGGAGGTGTGTATGCCTTTAATTAGCCAATTTTAAAACATGACTCAAGATGGAAGATGTGCTGCTGGATATTTGTTACTAATTTCTTTAGTGCCATACTTTGATGCCTTCCAGTTTGTTCACTGATATAAATGCAAATTGGGGAAATAATTAAACCTGTATGCTGTTGATGCCGTCAGATGTTTCTGTAGCTTGCCACTTGGCATCGCTGAGGGATGAATAATGGAATAAGGGCAGGATATGCAATTTCTGTTGTTGTAGATGGTGGCAATCTCGGTCCTGATATGTTGATGTTTGAAAGCTGTTTAATTTGAAAGAAATGAGGTGCACAGAGACACGATATTGATAAAGCATTTCCAGTGTTCCTCTAGCGGATTTCAAACGGACTCATCTCTCGAATACAGATTATACATATTGTATAAGAGATTGATACTTTTGGTTGGCTTCACTATGTTTGTTCTGATCCTCTCCTATGGGTGAGAGAAAGAGATCCCAGAAGTTTGAATTGCTTTCACAATGAATCTGTTTCTCCAGGAAAGAAAAGTCATTTTAATAAATACCAACCAAAATAATTTCTAATAATCGTTGCTTTTCCCTCCCCGTTTCTCCGCTAAGCCAGCAACTATGAAAGTACTCAGAAAACAAGTTGATCAGGTGGGTAGAATAACTTCTCTTTTTAAAACTGTGAGGAAATGTCTAAAGGTTTAGATTTATTGTCTTTTCTTTAGGGCAAAAATCCAATTCCCAAATCATAACTGAACTCTATCTCCACAGCAGCAAGTGTGTTGAAACTAAAACTGCTTTGTGAACACAGACAGACTATTAGGTTAGACAAATTTAGTTGTAGAACAACAGCTTCTAGGATTACTCTTGCACTCTGAAATTCCTTTTCCCTAGGGCTCAGCTGCTTCAGTCTACCCTTGGTCATACTCATAAGGGGATTAGAAAGTTCTGCTCTTGGCCCCTTTCTTTTCTGTTACTCCTTGCAGCCTTTCCATAATGTACAGTCACCCATCCATGGCCCATGGGTAGAGATACATAGGAATTTAGAACTTTTCTCCCTGCCTTAGTTGTGTGAATTCCAGATTAGGCCTTATGGACACTTGTTCACTGGTACATCTCTAGTTTCAGAACAATCCCTAACCATATTGTTGGTGCTCAATAAATATTAGTTGAATAAATGACTTAGTGCCAAGTTGAGGTTGGCCAGTTACATAGAAATTTCTCTAATAGAACTTGAGAAAGGATACTGATTAAATGTGGTCTTCTTAACCTAGACCGGAAACTAAACTCATTGGTTTGCTTACTGGTGGTTATTGCCATGGCAACATATGCTAAGATGACCCTTCTTAAATAAAAATGAAGTCTTACTTCATGGTGGATGAAAAAGAGAATTGCTTTCTTATAATTCAGCTTGGCTTGATCTGCCTCATACTATCAGTCTGTGTCTGCTTCCATTTTTTTCTTTTAATAAAGTTACAAAATATTCGGCAAAACTTTTCCTTTTCCAATGAAAACCCATCACATTTATGTCCTAGAATCAAGCATGGGAGAACCTGTGAAATCATATAGCTCGCTGACATTAATGATATTTTATTATGGCTTTGGGTAGTCTGTATCCTCATAGGATTTTGTGCTTTTTCCTTTATTTATATAAGGCTTTTTATGTTTTTATTATTCCTGTTGTATTAATATTTAATTTTGATTATGCAGGGCCAATTGGCCTTTCCGCAGATTAGATTAGGCCATTAGGGTTCCTGGTCTTTCTTTCCCTGTCTTTTCTAATCATTTCATGTTACCATCTCTTCCTGAGTAAAGTGGCAAGTGTAACTAGAAATGAAAGTCAAAGGGATTGATTTGGTAATGTGTCAGTTTCTGAAAAAGGGTAAAAACCACTGGTCAATATAATATATTTGGTTTAGGATTATTTATTTTAAGCAACTTAGATTTGTTGGAGAGAGGAGGCAGAATTTAACAGAGGAGTGGTTCTATTCATGACTGCATACCTTTGGAGGACACTGGTGAGTTCCAGTGTTAGGTCAATGATTTGCCTCATTTAACTTCTCGGCTATTCCATAATTCTTCCAGATTCAGCATCAAATTTCAGTTAATGAATCATCTTGAATAGATAACAGTTGCAAGTGATTTTGAATTGCTCTTCTGACTAAATGAAAACATCTTTTTTAATAAACTAAGCCACATAAGATACCTCACAACCAGAAAAAAACTTTCATTTTGTTCCCCACATATCAAAACAATGGCTCTAAAAATATACGTTTTCTATTTCTTAAGCCTGCAGAACTCTGTACATTTCATAGCCTTCTGTTCTTTAGGGAATAGTGCCCCATTAGCTCTTTTAGGGTTTGCCCTTTGTTGTCTCTAGATTTTTTTCAACTGCAACTGGTTACTTACTTTCCTCAACCACGGTGCTGACAGATGCATTTTAAAGCAACTATAATACTTTTGAGACTTAACTAGAAATTCAAAGACAGTGAATAAGATGTGTATCTCCTGGTTCAGACAAACATTACACCACACAAGCAATCTGGTTGAGCACTAATTTTGGGATAAGAGGGGGATGTGCTCTTTTCTTCTTTTCAAATTTCATTTCTGTCCCATGAGTGTATTTGTTTAAAAGGAAAGCAGCCTTCCCTTATATTTATCACACTAGGTAGAAATCATACTGAATTAAGAAATTATCCTACCTTCAAACAGCTAATTAATATAGTAATCTTGGAACAAGAGATGACACTTCATCTTCTTTCCTAAGCCTATGATGTTGGAAGGTTATAGTCATCTCTGGGAACTATACTTTGAAATTAAAAAGAAACTGAAGCATAATAAAGATGGTGAAGAATTTAAAATTTATGACATTTGAAGAATATTTGAAGGATTTGGGGGAGATTTAGCCTGGGAAAGCGAGAGGGATACAATTAGTGAATTAGAGCAAGACTTTGGTTCAACGGGATGGAATGAGGTCCACTGAGGCCATAGGGCCACAGATTTGGGGTCTAAGTCAGGAAGAACTCTCTCAAAAAGGTGGGTCACCATGGAAGGAGCTGCCTTAGGTAATAGTATGCATCAAGCAGATGCTAGATGATGAGGAAAGGATCTTAGCATTGGTTGGAGGTTCGACTAGATGACCTATTAATTTACGTTGTAGCACTTTGCCTCTCATAACATGTTCAGTTAAAGATCTGTTAACTTACAGCTAATGATTTTTTTTTTTTAAAGACTGCTTTTCTGCCAGTCTTCAAGAAGGAGGTTGGTTACATGTTGTTTGGCTAAGAGACTGGCTTGTCATTATGCCCTAGGCTGGGACTGCTTCGTCAGTTCATTCACTGATGTCCAGTTGAAATCACAAACTGGTTCTTGAGCTAAAAAGTATTGTTTTAATAGAAGTTATGTAGAATCATGGAAATTATGTTTTTGTCATGTGGCAAACATAGGCCATGCTCAGTTTAGTGAATAACTGGTATCCAGGATTTCAGACCAGGCCTTTTTTGCAGAACAGAATCTTCAGTTAAGATCCCATAAATAGACCAATATGAAGTTTTGTGGCTTCCATTAGAGATGGGCTGGTGTTCATGGCATAAAAGAGATCTTAAGACCTGTCTTGGCAGAATCTCAAATGACATTTGGTTAGTTGGGTTGATTCTCTTGAAAAAACATGATCTGCAAATTATTTTAATAGAATGAAGGCCAAATTTCTTCAGTAGAAAAAGTAACAAAACATGAGTTTTCAGAAATCAGAGACAGCTATAAGCAACACTTACTAATAAAGCCCATGACCAAATGATTCCACCTGCAAAATAAGTTGCATTCCTGTTAGGCTGATAGATGGGTTTTCATTAGTCTTTATAAGTCATTGGTCTTGCATCAGTATAGTGAGAAACACTT